ACTCATTATAATATAGATAATACTAAGGCACAATCTAATTTTTATAACTTTGAGTCTGCTTTGTTTACAGACACATAAAATCAGACCCACTTGTCACATCCTCTATTTCACAAGCTGCCACTAATTTTCTCTGATGTTTTACATCATTTATAATCAACAGAAAAACAAAGTTTTAATCTATCAAATTATGTATTATATTACACTGTTTTCAATATGGCATATTGTCTATTTCATCTTCAGTTTGAAAGTATCTCTCTCACAGTGTTCAGATCAAGAAGCACAGGAAATTATTTTAGAGCTCTTATGCCTTAGTTAGAAAGCCAATTAAATTATAATACCTATAGGGAATTGTTTGCTTTGTGTGTATTATTGTTCTGTTATTTACAACTTGTATGGTAGGATTATTAGTCAGACATGGTTCAAAGGGCAATAAAACAATAAAAGTAAGTAGAAACAGATGTAAACTGTTATGAGCTTTAAGCTAATCAGGATAAACAAATGTAGTTTTCTGTTACAAACTGCAATCATTCTAGAAATAGAAAAGGTGGTAACTTAGATTTATTTCATATTTTTTAATGGTGGTTACAAGGTTAGCCAAATCAACTGAGTCTGTATAAAGTTAGGGCAGAGAAGATAACAGATGAAATATAAAGTTTAACAGAAAAAACAAAAAACGTCTGATATTCATTTAGAAGGTTTTAGAGGTTACACAAATTAAATTTGAAAGTTTTCAGATGAAGAAAAGTATTTTTAATCTTAACATCAAAATCACATTATGCTCGGAGCAGTCAACATCTGACTCCATATGCACACAGACAAATCTTTAGTAAAAATACTTAATTCAAAAATATGATGTTTTTGTGTACAAAAGATATGCAATTTTTACTGAAAAATTGCCAAATTTTGTGAATATAAATATACCAAATGTTAACATTTTCATAAATTGAAAATGTATTTCCAATAATACTTATCTCCGCTGACACGTAGCTATTCCTTGACTTTCACTTTGCCCATCTAAGCATTTGTCTCGCTTGCTCCTGTCTTTTATACCCCACTTAAATGCCTTTGGCAATTTTTGGCCTTGTGAAATTCTCTACCTATGTCAATGTGCCCTTTATCCTGGTCTTATATATAAGCACTTCACTCAGACAATGTAACCACTTTTTAAAGACTTACACCATCCCAGTCACTAACACCGGCTCTTAGTGGGGAGGAAGGGTGGGAGAGTGTCAGCGGAGGTAGGTATTATTGGAAATACATTTTCAATTTAGGAAAATGTTAACTTCCAAAACATAGTTACCATAAGCTGACACATAGCTAGAATCTCACATTGAGAAGGTGGAGGAGCTGGTGATGGTATTATCCATACAGAAAGCATCTGCATAGCACAGGGGTGTACGAAGATAAAAGTGGTACACAAATGGGGGAACTGCACTATATCCAGCACAAGTATGCTCTTCAACCTGAACTTAGTTCCTGTATCAAGGGTGGAATAGTACATGAGTAATTATCATTATAGGCCAGCAATTGGCTGCAACGTTATATATATATACTTTTGATTGGATCTTAACCTGTAGCTATAGAGTGATGTGTTCTGAACCACCAGAATCATGATGAGAAAGTAAGTAACACCAAAGTGGACAAACTTTCTCCTCCACCTGAAGAAGTATGAAAGGCAACACGCCAGGCTCGGAATGACGGGATCGTGTATGCCTTACTCAACCAAAAGAACAGAACAGTGAGTCCAGTTGAGAAATAACCAAAGTTAAAAAACAAAGGTCTCGAGAATGTGTGCTCCTGTGACAATAAATTTAAGAGACAACTGTGGAATTGATAGAAAGTATCATGATGACATCCCCCTGAAACAGATCTAAGTCTTGAACCATATTCTGTTGGACAATAAGAAGTTCTAAATTACTGATGAGGGAAAGAAGATTCATCTTATGTCTATATACCTTGGAATTCCTGATATTCAATATATGCATCCTATCCTTGTAGTGAGGCATATGTGAAAAGATGAAACTTGGCACAGAGAGGTGGTACAGGTACACCAATGGTAGAGTTGATCTGATCCAACCACCACTCGAGAACTAAGATGTAGCTTCTGATGAAGGAAACTGGATGATCCAGTGGATTGGAATTTCTGATCTATTGGTTGTGCAGTGATCACTGAAGGAACTGCATATGTGCTTGTCCCGAAAGCATCAGAGATTCAAGGGATGCCCACATCCCCCAAAAAAATAGTACCATCCACATAAGTAAGAGACTGACTGCCCATTCCATAGCCTGGAGCCAGATGGAAGTTGGCTCAATCCAGCTTTAAATGTCAAAAACTCATACAACCCTCCAGAAAAATATGGTGCAGACACTAGTTCAAAGGGTAGATCCCTGAACAGCAGAACCTGACCCCTGTGCATGAAAAATAGATAGTGACAGGATGAATTCACTAGAAATGTATCAGTAACATCGAACTTGGTTATCCCCAGACCTGATAAAGAATGCCAACACAGGTTGAGAAAAGGACTCCACTGTGAACCTGGGAGGTTAAAAAAATTGGTTGATACGAGAAAGATTGACAATTGTCCACCAATCTCCCATAGTCTCAGGCACAACAAATAAATGGGAAGAAAATCCCAAAAGAACAGGATCGACTCTCACTACCACCCCCGTGACCAATAACTCTCTGATAGCCTTGGAACGAAAATCCACAGGCTGGGAGGATAATGAAGATGGAGAAGTGAATGGAAAGACCAACCCCAATGGCAGAACTTGAACTACCCATGGATCTGCAGTGAAGGAATATCATGTATTCGTGAGTTGTCGTAACCTCACTCCTACAGACCCCACCCACCTAGGGGAGAAACTGACACCATTGGTGACAGTTAGCCCAAATGGGGGAGCCTTGAAACTAAGGACGGAATCTATTCTGAGTATCCATAAAGCAAGAAACAGAAGTCTAGAGGCCAACAACAACAAGGAAAAAAGCAAACAGGTGACATCCTTTCATGATTCAATGCCTCTAGAACACCCACAAACACCAAGAGATGAAGAAAAGGAGCCCCAAATAACTCACGGAGGACTACATCAGTTAGACGAACCCTCTCCAATCTCTACTCAATAAATCCCAACAACATACAAGTGAGAAATCCAAAGAAAGAATGAAAGAACAGAAGCTGATAATCTGAACAAGGTAGAAGTCAGTAGAAGACCCTATTTATCCTCAAATTGATGTGGGTACCTTTGTTAGGCTTCCAAAAAAATTTTTGTCGTGGGAGATAATATCTCAAAGCAAAAGTGAGGGTCAAACAAAGACAAGAATTGTAATTTGTTCAAAGTGATCACAGGGTTCAGTCTGAAACCCCACATATCTAAAAGCAGATCTAGTCTGTGGAATCGAAATATATGTCCACCTGGTGGTGGTAAACCAAAGCATGCAAACAGGTGAACAAGGGTACAAGGTATATCTATCCCATCATGCAATAAAGCAGGAGGTCATTGATCTAAATTGACCTCATAAAAAGCCGACTTAGTACAGAAAGGAGCCGGGAAAAACCAAGTCCAAATTCTCCCCAGAATGTCCTGGATCATTAAGAAAAGCAGCCTCAGAAACCCCAGGCCTAATATATGGCTCCATCTCATCAATGGATCAAATCCTGGACAACCTCAACTGAGAGTGTCCCCCCCCCCCTTCTGCCAGAAAAAAGAGATGCTAGATAACAGAGAAGGAATAGAGGAGATCTGATTAGCCTTCACACTGACAACAGTAATATGGGAATTCATGCCCGAATACAATACATTAATTTTTTTTTAAGGAAATGATAATTGTATGGAAATCCACAAGGTGATGCCAAAATTGCAAACCAGAACGTAACAAAGCACAGCACTTTGTCAGAAAAAAAATGTGACCAAACTCTTTTTCTATAAAAAGTGGTTACATTATCTGGGTGAGGTGCTTATATACAGTACCAGGATAGAGGGTGCACTGACATAGGTGGAGTGTGTCACAAGGCCAAAAATCACCAAGGACATTTAAGTAAGGTATAAACGATTGAAGCAAGCAAGACCAATGCTTAAATGGGCAAAGTGACGGTTAAGGAATAACAATGTGTTAACAGATGGTAAGTATGTTTTGGAATGAAAATTATAGTACGGAAACTCTGATGGTTACAAGGCTGTTGTAATACACTGACCCCTTATGGAAAGAGTTGATAAAGAATTACAAAATAGTTTTTTTCCTATGAATTAACTGATATAAAGTGGTCAAATTCTTTAAAACACAAAACATGGATGCTTTAATGAAATATAACTTAAGTATATGGAGAATTTAAATATCATAAAAAATAGTAAAACTACACTGTATTTTAAGTTAGTAGGCTTATTTATTTTTCATATTCAATTATTTCACACAAAAAATGATTTTGCAGTTTTTGAAGATTCTGATAATTTATTATTATTACTTAAACACTATTGCCTCAAGCGTTGGTCAACAAAGTTGATAAATCATCCCTCTAACATCAAACAAATCACATGTGATTTCTACTGAAGATGACACTTAAAGTACTAAAAATGTCTTTAAAATCCTCATAACTTTCACGCTGTGTACATTCAACATGAAATCTACAGGGGCCTATTTTCACAGGTGCTTTGATCAGTGTCAGAGTCCTTGGAAGCAGGGAACAATTTGCTCTAGATACAATATTGTTTGAATCAATATGTGGACACTGTTTAGCTGTGTCCAATAGGGCATGTACTGTAGATTCTAAATATGAAAAAAACAACAACATTTTTTGCTAAAAAATTTATCATTAAAATAAAGTCCAGTTTAAGTCTGTTTAAAAAATAATGTTTAACACTTAGTATAAAACTGAAAGTTTTGTTATTAACAAACACAGTGTTACTTTACATCATAGAACTTTTCAACCACAAATGTACTTGGGTATACAACAACTTATGCAAGTACAGAAAAAGATAAGATTAAGTAAAATAACATAAAGCATTACCTGTCCAAGCATGTAGGTAGTTTGAGAAAAGACACGCTCTGGATTGGAGATCAACAAGCCAGAAAAATTTCTATAGTAAAAAAAAATTAGAATGGTATTAAGAGGATATTTTAGATATTAAAGTTTTGTTTTTCATACCAAACTTATCTACCTTGTGTCTGATCAATACTGATAACATTTTGGAAAAACTTGAAGCTATTAACAATAATTACTCACCAAACAAGTGTAGTACAACAAAAAATTCATTTTAAGTATCTAAGAATATTACAAATTTATATGGATGTCAGCTAATGCAAGTTAACTGATAAAAAATGATAATATTCAATAAAACACAAAACCAATAGGCTTTAATACAGTTTAACAATAGCTAATCAGTTTAGTGAGAGATTGACAGCAAATACCTGACATCAAAGAAAACGTAACTTAGCTATGTAATGTATAATGCCAACAATAATCAATATGGTTCTTTTTAAATCACAAAGGGTGATGAACATTACAATAATGTCATGTCAGCACTCTCCCTTTCATTTCCAATATGGTTCAACACTACAGATATCCCTTTCTTCAAAATATTAAACTTTCATGCCATGCATACTTTTTAGTCGTACTCTGCATGAGAAAGTTTTGTAATATAACCCTTCCAGAAGGCATGCAAACCACCACACTTTATCTAAAATTCAACCAGAAAATCACATTTTTTTTAAACCAGAGATGACCAGAGTTTAAGTGTCTGAATATACATTTTTTTACCATAGATCATAATAAAAATAAACCTCAGTATATCTTTGACAAGCACAATTAATAGAGTATCTCTCAACAAATAATACATTTAAATAAACAATGTGCATTAATTGATAATGTACTACCTTACTTTATCACAATTTTTTATGAGGTAATCATTAATAATGATAAAACTATCCACATGAATACTGCAGTAAAGTTTTAACAGTAAATTCAAAAAGAGATCTAACCTCTGCTTCAAAAGGTTCTGCATCTTTCGGTGTAAAGGAGCACGCACTGACTGAAGCTTCTTCCCACACCTAGATGAATGTTCAAGATTCTGTAATAAAACTGGTGTATAATTTTACATTCACTTTGAAAGTATAATGGCTTAGTTTAAAATAATAAATATTACAATAAAAGCACTGAAACCGAACTGGCATTTAATGTAACTATTACCATATGTTTGGTTAATCACAAAATACAGATAAGATTAAATTCAGGTTGTGAAAAAAAAAGATAGTTCCAGTATTTCAAATTTAATATTCAGATATAAACAAAATATACACAGAACATTACAGCTGTGTTCTGAACACACACACAAAGTAAGTAGGAACATAATGTAATGTGTGTCAAGTACAATAACAATGCTTTATCTCCTTGAGTGAATGCCTTGTTTCTTACTTACAGCTGTGTTCTGAACACACACAAAGTAAGTTGCGACATAATGTAATGTGTGTCAAGTACAATAACAATGCTTTATCTCCTCAAGTGAATGCCTTGTTTCTTACTTACTACATGCTATTGGAAATGTTGATGGCTTGTGACGAGGCTTACCTAAGTAAGAACAGTTTCATGTGATTCAACAAATATTTAGTATAATATTTTTCTATCATTAAAGAAAATTTTTTCACTACTGTGCAAATTTTTATACAAGCTACACAAGCCTTTTCATCAGGAGAAAAGTTGCAGAATGTAAACTGTAGTAAATAAAACAGTTGTGCCAATGATGAATGACACCTGGAATTTTGGTAAAAGGAAAAAAAAAGACATTAATGTTTTTATTCGATAAAAAATTAAAGCCAAAATTACTATGGATATTCAATAAAATATGGTATATGAACTTTCTGGCATGCCTACTTATATGGCTACAAAAATTTATGTAAATTATCATCACATAGCCTTAATGATACATACATTTATGACACTAACAAAAAAGCAAACAAGTATTCTTTTTGTCATAGAACTAAGATTTCACACAAAATGTGTAGTTCTATAATTAAAATACTGTAAAGATAAGTATACTATACAAAAAAGTTGGGATAATTAAATTAAAATTAAGCTGAAATGAACATTATGTGGCAAGATATGTCTAGCTTTTGATCTTTGTTAAAAATCAAATTTCTTAAGTTGTGCTGTTGCAACACCTGATTGTTTAATTATCATTACTATCGTACAGTATGCACAAGAATGATGTTTTTCTTTATTTATTTCAGCTTAAGCATAAAGCTGTGGTATGCTCTGGTAAAACTTATTTTCTTCAAGACTAACACGACAGGCCCAAAGAATGACAGGAGATTCAATTAGGAAATACATCACAACATAAACCTGAATTCTCTCACTTTGATTGAGTTTGAGAAAAAATAAAGTGGACGTAATATAAAAATACAAGTAAACAATCTATTCAAAATCCAAAAAACAACCAAAGTAATGTATTGGACAGGGGACAGTGTCTTTGCTTGATAAACTTCTCTCTAAACTTTCCTCTGAACTTATTAAGAACTAGCAAATGATACAGGTTAAACTTTGGGATAGTATTACTATTTAAAGGAAGAACTTAAACAAACTTACTCAACTGAGGTCTTGAGCTTGAAAGAGAGTGAGATCACAACATTTATTACATAGACAGTTCTACAATGCTTTCCTTCTCAAGATATAAGCTCTACCTATGTCACTGTTGGTCAGTACCACTGAAACATAAGGGAGGTCATAAGTTCATAGTCTCAAAATATCATCTGACTGCCAATGTAAAAGATGCCTGTGTAACTTCACATACTATGTACAACCTCACAGCTATTTTTCCCATGGGATGACAAAAGGTGCCATCTCAAGTAAATGACACAGAAGAAATATGATATAGAGTGAAAGCAATTCAACAACCTTCTTGACTGATGTGTTATGTGGAAACTGTACATACACTTGCATAAGTTAAAAATTTAGAAAAATCTCTAAATTACTACAGTTTAGTTGAGTACTATGTGACAGTTCTAGGGGTTGAACTATTAGGTGCAGGCCCCTTATATCAAAACCTGATGATGACAAAACCTTGTCGAAATGTTGTAAATTTACTGTTATGTTAAACTTATATTAAAGTTTTTCTTCATTACCCATTCAAGCCATCTCCAGCCATTATATGAGGTTCATTTCATCTTTTCTTTCACCACTTCAGTAGAGTAAGTACTTAAGCCTGACTATGTTACAATGATCCACAGGTCTTATAATACACAGCTCTAAAATTTTCTAGTTTGTTATCAACTCCTCAGTATTTATAAGTCAACCTTGGTAAACCAAACCAAAACAGTCATCTCCATAACTTAGGTAGCACTTTAAGACATTTCCTGTGGTCTGTCAGATTCCTACCCTGGAGTTAACAAAACTATAGTCACCTTTCCTTCATATCTTTATCTCCTATGACTTTCTGCAGCTCTGAAATTTCGAGGATTAAGCACACACACTGAGATGATGAAAACACTACTGACCAGCTGAAAAAGAAGGTAGCCAGAAAGGTTAAGAATTTGATCTTAGTTAGCAAAATTCAAGATTGAAAATGTAAGGTCATATGAATTTCAATTGGTCAGAAGTTCAGCCAGGTGTGTAAGTTGTACAATATTGTAAATATCCAGTTACATACATGTCTTGTTCTAAAATTAAATTCCAGATCCAGGGTAATAAAACTATCACCTTGGTCAAATGACATATTTACAGGTTTTGTGTATTCTCATGCCCTATAACACCTGTAGAACATGTATCCATAACACCTGTGGATGACTTGGTCCACCAGACTTCACTAGATCAGTACATATGGCTAAACTGCCCATTGCTACCATTTCCATGGCAACAGCTAACACAGTCTAACCTCCGACCCAATCCCATTTCTACCACTACTGTCTGGTTGTAAACATGAATAATCCTCCAGGTTATAGTAGGTAAGAAATAGGGTTGAGACTGCAGAAACTGATTCCTTCACACATGAGCTGATCAAGGTTAATGGACACTAACATCTAGCATTTGATTGTGAGAATCCGTTATCAAGCTTCTCTTAGCACGATACTTCCCAGCTCAGAGAGGCTCATGACTGCATCATGGTTCACAGTCTTCACCATTTGGTACTCACCATCTCACCTGTCAGTGAAACAGCTCTTGTTGGCAAACTTTGTCCACCAATGGTACTTTCAGTCTTTCTTTTCCTCAGTTACCTACGCTTCGCTCACACTGAGTTTGATCCTCGAAGGGAGAGTGCTTTATCCATTCCGGGTTACAAAATTCTGGCAGTTCTTCTTCCTAAGCCTATGGTAGCCATGAGAAAGAAGACATAAGCCCTCAAAGTATTGGCAAAAGTCTGATGTGCTGGAGAGGACCTCTCTTGGACCTGACAATTCTCTTGGACAACTGTCTCCTTTCAATGACTAACTTCCTTTCAGTAATGAGTCTATTTGTGAAATATTCCATTCCCTTGAGAAAGAAGCCTTTTTAATCTCAATAACATACTTCAGAAGAAAACAGAAATCTTCATAATAATATATGCTCTGGTTAAGACACCAAAATTTTTCAATTGATCTGTTCTGTGGTATTCTCAAGTAATAAAACTAATTTCCCCCATGAGTGATAGGATAAGTTTGCTGAATAACAGATTTTATCAAGAAGTTTACCAGAGTAAATCTGTAATCTCTGACTTTGAGTTTGAGAAAGACTAGACACAATGCAAAAATACACGTACATAATCTTTATTCGAAATCATAAAATCAGAATAATGTGTGTGTGTTGGACAAAGGACAGTGACTTTCCTTGATTGTTAACTCTTTTAAGCTCTCCTATGAACTTATTAACATTTTCCATAGAGAGTCAATCGATGTGACCAACTTTGTAATAAAAAATAACCATTAGAGTTTTCATACTATAACTTTTGATATGTTATTTGTATATTCATAAAATTTGGTAAACTTTCAGTTTCAGGTTTTTGAACAAAGAATTTTTACCAAATATTTGTCTGTGAATACATGGAGTCAGAGTGTTGACTGCTCTAAGTCCAAAGTAATTTTCATGTTAAGAATAAAAATACTTTACTGCATATGAAAATTTTCAAATTTCATTTGCATAACTTCTGAAACCTTCTAAATAAACATTAAACATTCTTTTCAGTAAAACTTTATATTTTATCTGTTATTTTCTTGATCCTAACTTTATATGAACTTGGTCAATTTCACAGACCTTGTAACTACCATAAAAAAATGAAATAAATCTAAATTACCCCTTTTTTTAGAATGAGTGCAGATTGTAACCAAAAACTACAAATATTTATCCTATTAGCTTAAAGCTTGTAGCAGTCTATATCTTTTACTACTTAGTTTTATTGCCCTTTGAACTATATCTAGCTAATAATCCTGCCATACAAGATGTAAGTCACTTGGTAAATGCCTACTTCATGTTACCATGTTGAATTAAGTAATGCATGAGCTGTATGCGAAGATACCTCATAAAGAATTTTTATTATTAACTTTCACTATCTTACCTAATCTAACCTAATAAGCTTATAATTTTTACATTTTAGTTACTTTTATAATAATAAATAAAAAATATACATGAAAGACAAGAAATATAGTACTTACCTTTGCCTTTTTGTTTTTTGCTGTCAGTTACTGATTAAACTTAAGCCTACTTAGGCCTGGAAAAAAATGCTTTGTTTCAGGTTGCCCAACTGACCATAAAAAAGTTTTTCAATGCTACCCCTAAAAAAATGTATCTCCTGGCCAACCCTAATGAAAAATGCCCTTCAATTAATTTTTTTATTTTCATTAATTTATTGCACCAATCTGCTATCATACTGTGCAAAGTGAAGATAATAAGAAACCACATCTCTGGTTCGTTAATTGGTTCAATGCTTTCAGCCAATTATAGTTGAGCTTCTATTCAGGCAATGTTAAACATTTCATCATGGCAGCAAATCGGCTGTCATCTTAACAAATGTTTTCCTAAAAAAAGACAGTGTCATGGTTTACTGGAACAGTCAAAGACATGTTTGAGTCATACCATCCTAAACTAG